AAGCAAGGCTATGTGAAATTCAATGGAAACGTCGGCTCAACTCATATCATTGTGGGAAAATTCTACTACTCTAGACGAAATATGGTGAATACATCTCATTGTGTGAAATTCAATGAAAACGTCAGTCATACTAATCTCATTGTGGGAAAATTCTACTACCCCACCTTCATCACCTTAAACGAAATAGGGTGAATACATCTCATTATATTATATACTCATACCATCTACCAATTACCTTCTTACAAGTTTTACCCGAGCCTGCTATCAGACTTATCCGACTCCGCGCACCACTCTTCTGCGCTTTTACAGCACACCTAGTTGTTGTGCTCCCAAATGGTCAGGAGCCCCACACTTTAGCATCGTTTCCCATAAAGGCATACTCTACCTCTTATCTCATCGTCGCATCTTCGCTCTTCTTTGCTCTGTGGCGACCCTTGACTCGCTACATTACCAGACCTTTCTTCACCATCTCAGTTGGCATCTTTTGTGTATAGCGCCACTCTTAGCAGCGAGCTATATTTTGTCAAGATCACGGCAGACGCATTCACCCTATTTCACGTAAGCTGATGAATTTTCCCGCAATGATATGAGTGGAATTTACATTTTCCTCGAATCCGAAAAGATATTCCAATCCAGGGTTGACTACAGTTTTACCCTCGCAAAACTGTATTATCAACATCACTACGAGAGTCGAATCGTGACAGTGCATTGCTTCATCGACAATCCCAACTCAGAGTGTGATATGGAAAATATCTGACATTCCTTGTAATTTACATCTTCCATGTGACCCAAGGGCACTCGAGACAATGCGGCTGAGTTGTTAAAGTGTCAAGCTCGCATGCTGCACTGTCACGGTTCGACTCCCGCTGGGGGTGTTTAGAAGGCCTAGGCGAGGTCGAAATTGCAGTCCATTCCAGCCGAGATGAGAACAACTTTTGGTAAAGCAAGGCTATATGAAATTCGTTGGAAACGTCATGTCTACTCATATGATTGTGGGAAAATTATACTATCAGTCCTTCCTCATCTTAAACGAAGTAGCATGAATACATCTTATATAACCGATTTTCAGGTAGTCTTTAAACCTTACTTATTGACGAAAAACAAAATACTCATGCTTCTCTAGGACTATTACAACAAATTTTAACGCGATTTTCTCAGCACTATTAGTTACCGCTACTTACATCTTTGCCTCACCTTTTCCATAAGGTTTAAACCCCAACATTTATTTTTTCACATTTAGGGGCAACAATTATATATAATTTTTTTTTCGTTCTTTTTCTCAGTCAATCTGCAGCGTGTCCGCCTGAAGTCTCTCCTAGAACATAATGCTCAGCTGGCACTGCACAAAGAAGACCTGGATGTTCAACTTCGAGAGCTTGAAACTATTATGGACCAAAGACAACGATTAAAATCAGACTATCCTCTAGTAGGCAAACGTTTTTCAACATTGCTTTTCATACTTGCCTCCACTTGGTGTTTTCAATAATTTCTATAGACATCTTATGTAGTGACGAGATGCAATTATTTATCTATTTTCACTGGTGAATCCAATTATATTCTTTCAGCCATGGTTCATGATCTCTGGTTCACACTGTCCAGATCTTTAGACCCCAGATCATTAGCTCAAATGGGTTTTTTGTATTTGACTTGCTCTGAGAGGTCTGTGTATAAATTATGGTAGGCTATACCTATGCAAGCTCGAGGCGATAAGTTAGCGAAGATGTAAAAAGGATTGCTGCTAATGCATAAATCACAACTATCAGAAAATTTGGATCCATGAAGAAGTGCTAGTTAGCAGGCTTGGAAGGCATTCATTACAAGGGCATAAAGGTTCCCAGCAGAAAAGCAAACATTCTGAAAAAAACTCGGTCTGACATCATTTTCGCAATTCAGTTATGGAGTTAGGGAGAACTTTAGGAACTTTTTGATATAATGATTTCTTCCATCAGACTTTTTGCTGAGTATATTTCCAGACATTTCGCCAGCATCATCAATGAGCCTTGTCCTCCTCATCAACCAACTGCAACCTGTCAAAGGGACAAGTAAAGCCTACGCCTTCAGGAAGCCGGTCAAGGATGGGCTTTACTTGTCTTTCATCAGTTTTAACTCGATTCTGAGGAGAGCAAAGCACACTGCCGATGTCGGTTTAACTTCTGGAAATGTATACTGGAAGGAATCATAATAACAAGAAAGTAAGGAGTAAATTGTCTCTTATGAGTCATGCTTAATAAGACACCGATTTTCTATCCGCTCATAAAACACGAAAGAGATTATTTGCTATTTTTATGCCTTGTTTTGAAAATCTTAAATGGCATCCTGAGAGCCTTAAGAGCAAGCAATTACCATATTTATCTCGCCTTATTTTTAGTTTTATGCTATTTAATTTTTTTTCTTTTGTTTTTCAAGGACTTGACTGCCCAGATAAATTTAGTTTTTTTACGTATTTTTCATTTTTTCTTACCGCGCTCTTTATTAGCATCCTCATTTTTCTTCATACCGTTTTTTCACATCATGGCCTTTTGCTTTCATCTCTTTTAGCAATCAGATATTGAAATGTTGGAACGTGAAGTCTTTCTTTTGAAAGAGGGCCGCCGTCTGCAGACTCAACAGCTCCAGCATCAATTTCCCTCTCCTACTTCATACGCGCCTACTCTATTATACACTGCCTCTAGTCACCCAACTCCTCCAATTATCGGTCCGGTAGGACTTCAATCTTCCTCATCGTCCATCTGCATTCGTCCGGGGTCCAGAGCCTGCTCTTCTGGGGTCTATCTAACCTCGACATCTGCAGGCTCCAACTGCAATGGGCCAATGGGATTTTCTCACTTTGATCCTTTTCTACGCCCCTTCGCTTCTGCTGCTATTCAATCTCCTTCATCATTGAGCCTGCCAAATTTTAGCTCTGCTACCTCTTCAGGTCGGCTTTCTCCTTGCTTAACACCTTTTCCTCAGCCGGCAGGGCAACATACCAGTACGCAATTTCTGCCCGGCCAACTTGCCATCCGAAATCCCGGCATGAGGGCCAACAGTCCACATGGGACTCCCACAGGTCAGCCATGCATATCTGCACCGCTCTCTGCCTTGGTGGCTAGTCTGTATCATTTATCGTCACAGGTCTCCTTTGACCCTTCTTGCACCCTCGTTGCCTCGACCTTGGCTGGGCCTGGCAGTCTTGCTTCTGCGGTTTGCAATCAGCCACGGAGGCGGAGTCCAGTCTCAACCCCAGACCTAGGCACAAATGGTATTCATCGAACAAGTCCACCTCAGAATTTCACCTGTTTTCCTTTTTTTTTATCCAATTCTGATAGAGGGTTGATTTCGGCTTTTACGGAGCTGTTATTCATCACCACTGCTAATTGAATTTACTTTTTGTTGAAATTATTTTTATACAATTAGCTGGCTATCAATTCTCCATTTTGAGGATTTTTTAGCTGTGTAAACTTCTTTGTTTCTGGGTGTCATCATTGTTTTCACCTTATCCTCATCAATCATTTTTGTTTCTAGCGCAATTTTTAGCACGTAGCTTCAAAGTGGAGGAAATTTCTGATTAGGTCTAAGCTGATGCAGTCGGAATGCCATATTCTCTTAAATGGAAGATGGTTCATTCTCTTTTCTTGGTTTATCATCATATACCCACGATAATCTCGAATCAATTTGAATATAATATTACCTTTTAATATAAAAAACCCAGTTTAGTTTTGCCTCATGCAATTTAAAATTGTTATTCTTATTTGATTTTTCTTTCCAAGCCTCCAGACATAAGCATAAAAGGCATGGTTCAGATCAGCTCTTCGGATTAAATTTCACTCTCAGGTTAGTCTTTATTTGATATTTCATTCCATCTCTAAATTTACTGACAATTTTTATTAAATAGCTGCATCTTGAGATTCCACTATGCCAACACTTCATGAAAAATTACATTTGAAGCATTGTTTCATTTTTCCTATCCTATATATTGACCTAGTCATACGTAAAATGGGTTGCTCATACTCTCTGGTCAAAGTGTTTTCATCTTTTACTTTGATTATCTCCACTTTTAAGACTAATCAGCTTGACAATAAGGGCAACCTATTTTATATATCAATGAGAACATCTATCGACAAATATTTGGATTTCCCATGGGATCGCCGCTCTCACCACTTTTGGCAAATTTATATATGAACAAAATAGAAGAGAACTCTAAGACGTGACCGCTACAACCAGCAGTGCTCATGCTGTACCTGGATGATTACTTTGTACTTTGGTCAGAGGGAAGATAAAAATTGGAAGATTTTCCAAAGTTTTTAAATCCAGATTGATGAAAAAATTCAATTCACGATGGAAGTAGAGGAAGGTGAGCGGTTACCGTTCCTGGATGTTAAAGTGATTCACTCTAATGGGATTTTCAAAAAGAAATTGTTCAGAAAGAAGTCTTGTTACCGGATGATACTCCATTTCCAGTCCCATCACAATTACAGGCTAAAGATAGGAGTAATGAAGAGATGATGTGGAATTCTGGGACGAGGAGCTGGACAAATTGACGAGGAAATTGCTCGGCAACATGCAATGACGATGTCGACTACGATGCCGGCGAAACGTCTGAGAATGTACCAAGTCCACCGTTTGATGTTGGGACTTATGACAACTACTATGGCAGATTA